GTAGCTAATATCTCGGCTGATGCTCCCTCCCCCCGCAGGCGACGTACGGGGGTGCGACGGAGGCAATTCCTACGCCTCCAATAGCACCCCTGTGTTCCGGGCTGGGGTCGGCGTGGTAACCCGGCCCTATTGAAAGCCCGGCGTCGTCGGGGTGGTCCTAATTGCCGGGATCGCCCCCATTCTCCGAGGGAGTAAGTCCGGTCTTTGCCAGGACCGGCCAGTCGCTGGTGTGCCCTGTCGCTGACAGATCCGGGGTACACCGACATAGCGGCCGATGGCTTTCGCAGTGGTTTTAGTGAGTAGGGGTCTGCCCAGGCCGAGCCTAACACATCCCTTCCGGTCCCACCAAGGCCGGTTGGACGGCTCGTAAAAAGAGTTTCCACTACGTCATCAAAAAAAACTAATATCTGAAATAATTCAGAACTTTTTCAGACTATTTATTAAAAATTATTGAAACATAGTACTTCGTAACTATTACATTTAAAATTAAACATGAACTTTATTGGTAATTTGTATTTTTAAATGACTTAGACAATATTTCAACCCAGCTTTCAACTTTGATAAATTTACATAATATGGAACATACCGTTTATACTCTCGATACCTCCCACGTAAGTTGTTGTATCCCACAAAAATACGATTTTGCTTTTTTACTAAAAAATATCCTATTATGGACCATTATATCCATTCAAATTAAAAAAACAACAAAAACACTATTTTTAAAGGATTTGTCAGACGCATAATGTTATAATTTTCAAACGCGAACGGACTAAACTGATGTATATGTCTATGCAATTGTTTACGCGGGGCGTGAGGTGGGTAAAACCACGCGCTCACGCCGCGTATGAGTTACATACAACAGAATAAGACTTATGTTTTTCAACGTATACAGTTGTAACTATCATATACCACAAGTGAGGCTACCTGGGCGCCGCGGTATAATGTTGTAAGTATCAGATACAACGCCTTTTTTAGCTTCTACTCCGGAGTAAAATGTTGTATGAACAATATAACAACAATATCTTCGCAAATAGGCATATTAATTAAAATATCTTTTAATGTAGTTAAGGAGACTATTATGTTAAATACGAAATTTTAAAAAGATTCATCGATAAATGCAGATTTTGGTTTAATTTCAATCTTTGAATCGCTTTACTGTAAAATTACACTTTTGGAGATATAACAACTTACATGGGAGGCATCGCTCTGTTTCGTGTACAAGAAAACTGATTTAGGCCGTGGACTGGAGATGAAGGCATATGTAATAAGGATATATGTTGCGATTTAATTATTACTAACAACTATATTTTCACAAACAGATACGCGTAAAGTTATCGTCTAAAAGAAAAAAATATGAATTCCTTTTAATATTTAAAACATTATTAGCGTTTTATGATGTAGTAATTGGTACAAAAAATATCCCTTAAATGATTCAATTCTTTTGCATTATTAGAAATTATGATGAGTGTTTTTATGTTGTATTGAAAAAATATTTTCTTATATAAATGAATAATATCTTATAAATTCTTTTTTTAGTAGCACTTATATCAAAACTTTGAGATTTCAATAATTTTTTTTTTGGAATTGTTTCAACCTCAGATTTTATTTTTTTATTCATTTAAGTAATACCTTACTTATTTTATTTATCATTATGTTATTTATAAAAAAGTATATAGATTTTTAAGTGAATGTTATATCTCATGGAAAGTATGTTTATATATACATAAAAGAGCTGCTTAAAATATGAAGGTGAAGCTAAAATTATATCTTTTGATATCAGTTTGTCAATTAAGCTTCATCATTTGCTATGAACAGAATAAGATCTAAGCTATTGACAGTATGATCATTCACATCTGGCATCCTTGAATCCGCCTCACTAACTGGGAAAAACTTGGTGACAAATTAAAAATGATTATTTTCTACACAGAGTCGTTAGTAAACTTACATAGAAACAAATAATAATAATCAGTCAATCTGACAGCCGTTCAGCTAACGTAGAATATTCGTTTCTTTCAAAGAGAGCCACAGAGGCTTACTAGTCTCTAGGTGATGATTGGCGAGAAGGAAAACTGATGTTATTCAGATGCATTATAAGCGAAAAGAAATACAACTGCTGTGAAGACTACTTCTTTTTTAATTTAAAAAATTAATTCGTGTTTACTGTAGAAAACAACTGTTTTGTTTTAAGAGATATGGAACTATAAATAATATAAGGGCAGTCAGAAAGACAGGTTTTTTTTTGAATAATTGAATAATCAGACTTTAAGTCCATATCGCTGTTTCGACAGATTTTTACTCTATACTTTGATGGAAAGTTTCGGTTTGTCACTCATGTATAATTTTAGTGGTTAAAATCAACAACTGACAAGAGAATTATTTCGTTGAATGTTTTTATTAGAATTATTTTTTGTTATTATATATCTCTTTATGAAATAGAAAATATTAATATAAGACAAAATTTACATCGTTAAATCAAAAGTAGCATTTCTAAGACAGAATTTGATTATTATTATTATTAATACAGCATAAATCTCATACTGTTATATGTATGAGTAAAATATAAGAAAATTTAATTTTGTTTTTTTATTTATGGCTTATAACCATAAATCTGAATTTTGGTTTTGATCATCAACTATGTCTGTACAACAAGTAAATCTCAGAAATACCGTTTAGGAATCCAGTTTTGATATTGCGACGAAATTCGGAGAAGCGTTCATATTTTCGTAAACAAAACATGAACTACATTTCCATATTTTCGAGTCTCTCAAGTTTTTTAATTAAGTGCTCGGTCAAATAGAAACAACTTATATCAGAGTAAACAAGAATTGGAAGCGAGACAGAATATTCTCACAGATTTCTGTTTGAATTCCCATTACTCGCAATCATAGTTTTCTAGGAAACCCTTTAGGAATTGCTATAGATCGGATTTTTTTTTGAAATGACTTTTAATACGAATGATACTAAAAAAATAGTAGGGATGAGATATAATATATATATATATATATATATACATTTGTATATATATATATATATATATATATATATATATATATATATATATATATATACAAATGAATATAAATATACATTTGAATATTTTTGTTGTACCACTATTGTTTTTATTGTTTATTTAAGTGTTTTAATGACATGGCAAGTGCAGTTTATTAAGTTAATAGCAATTTGAAGTCTCGCCACACTAGGAAGAGCTAATGTTAAACTAGTAGTATCGATTTCCCTTATAGTAGAAAATTAGGGTTAGTGCTGAGATCTGACATATTATATCAAACAGAAATAATTTACGCGTATACACAAGTTACAAATTAATTCATGACATTTATGTTTGATGAACGAAAAACAATTAACAGTTCTTTCTATCAGTTAAAGACGAAATAATATATGTCAAATTATTAATTGATGTTTGTATACGTATTTTTCCAGTAAATATTTATGGTTTCCACTCATACTCAATATTTTTCTTGATTATAGTATAGTAAGGTTATTAGCAAGTCAAATAACTGTACCTTTGTAATAAACATATATTTTAATAATTATGAACAATGATATAATTTTAAATCCTTATGTTAGAATTGAACGTACATACACCACAGTCAACCCTACTCGTAATCCTCACGGCAATTCTGATCGGTATTCATTATTCAGATTCATTGCTCCCAATATACTTCAGCAATAAATTGCAGACCTTAATTCATTTCAAATAGTTATATCTTTCTTTTAGAGATTGACTGAACTTGATAAATTACTCTTAAATAATACTAATTACCATTAGAGCTTACACAATACCTACTGCTGAATATTTAGTTTAGTGAGAAACAAATATGCTTATAAAACTATTCTTTCATTAACCGGTTTGAATGATATATATGAAAATTGCCATTTTAACAGTTCTATAAATCAACGATGATGACATGAGAGTATAATATATTTTATGTAATATAGTATTATATACGATATATGTCACTATGTATTCATATGTTGACATTTATATCTTTATTACTTTTGTAATGCTAGGATGCATAACGAACATAAAAGCGACAACCATACAAATGCATTTTATAATCGTATCGTAATATCACTCTATTAGATTAAATATTTAAATAAGGGTAAGAAGCAGAGATTGAAAAAGCACTTTTTAATCTTTAACAGAAAACACAATTATTGAAAAACATACTTGAAGTTTCTCAATGACTCTAAAGAAACTTTTGTCTCTGTGACACAAACTTTCTGAAGGATGGCGCACTTTGAGATGTAAAAGTAATGGGTTTCTTTGAGAGTAAAAGGTTTTAATATTGATAATAACAAGTGGGAATTTTATTACAATCAATTAATTCTGTAAAAATCTTTTAAAATAAATTTTATATCTACTTCAGATTTGCGTAAAGAACTTCCTAGAAATATTAGGCTTTTGATTAAACATTAAAATCTTTTAATTACAATACAAGTACATATTTTCTTTTCATTATAAGATATACTTGAATTAATTAATAATTAATTAGAAAAATAGATTGTGGAACATTATTTTAATTAATTTTCATTTAATTTTTTATTTAATTTTTTACCCGTATAGCATTTTGCTTGCATATATACTAATACTATGGACAAATTTGTAATTAAACATTTTTGGTGCGCTGCTTACTTTATGATGGTAACTATCGTTAATGAAATTTTACACAAAATAAATACATATAGCGGAGTAAAGGCTCACATTGATATGGAACTCATAACCAGATCAAGTACAAAAAGGTAGTGTGCGAGTGTGAGAATTCTTAAAATTTTTTATTTAAGACATATTTATTTATCAAGATTTTGTTTATGATTGAACCGTTTCAATATAACCAAAAATAATATTGTAGAATAAAAACTTTGATATTGAATTCTGAAAGTTAAATATCAGAAAACACATTGTTGCTAAAAGTGCAAGCTTAATGTATATATGTATATATATGTAAGATTATATATATGTGTTTATATTCATATAGCTATTATTGCTTATATTCAGATTTGATTAGATCCGATATATATTCTGCTATTGTGACTGTTGGTATATTTATATTGATTCTAGGTATAAACGGCATTACAGATGCATCAACAACTCTTAACCGTTTGACACCGTACACCCGTAATCTAGGATCGACAACTGCGTCTTTATCCGATGAAGGTCCCATTTTACAAGTTCCAACAGGATGATAAATAGTAGCAGTATACTCAGTAAGTACAAAATGCGCTCCAAATTTTTTAAATGCTTCAGTTTCTTCTAAACTTACACTAAACTTAAAACCCTCTATAAGAACATCTATATCTTCCTTCTCAGTAAAAAAACGCTGATAAATTAGAGGGTTCCCGTGAACAGGGTCGTTATTATTAAGCAAAATGATACCTCTACTGCATGGTTTTATTAAAAGAGGTTTACAGAAAAGTCTATCAAAAGAAGCAGTAAAAGTGTCACTCGTTAAATAAGCCTGCGGATCAGAATAAAACTCTGCAACATTATTAATACCTTCAAAAATAAATTGTATATCTGGTGTACTTTCACGAGAGTACTTAGTTTTTATAAACGCAGTAGTACCGGCAACATTTGTTGTCGCCAATGGTCCATACTTTTTCGGTTCCTGGTCATGGTACCGTTGCACCTCTTCTAACAATTGCTCAGAGCTAACGTTGGTGGCAGTTTTATTCGACAGAGACATAATAAAACCGTTTGTAGTAACGTGGTCTTGTAAGTTATGACCGACAGATAAGTCAGCAACAACAGATATATTCAAACTCTCCAAATGCTCTCTAGGCCCAATACCAGATACCATCAATAATTTTGGGGAATTAACAGTTCCACCACTAGATATCACTTCCTTTTTAGCATAAACATTGTAAGATTTGCCATTTTTCTCATAGGTAACACCTAAGGTCGTTTTTGTTTCATGGTCTATAATTAATTTGGTCACAAAAGCGTTTGTTATAATATCAAGATTCTTTCTTACATCACGAATGGGTTTGATGTAAGCCACATTTTCTGATACCCTTCTTCCGTCTTTAGAAGTTGATAAACCTATGTTGACACCAATATTATCTTCTGCAGTTAAATCTATTTCTGGGATATGCAATTCTTTAAATGATTCGAGAATCATAAAATTATTAATATCATAATAAGAATATCTCTCTACAGTTATAGGTCCACCTGTTCCGTGATGATACGTATCAAATGCTTCAACAGCTTTATTATTTTCAGATTTTCTAAAGTAAGGCAAGAGCTGAAACAAAACGTTGTAATATACATTTTGTTTACAAAGATAAGAATTTTAGTCATGAACATTAGTACCTCATCATAGCCCCATCCATAGTTGCCTATTTCCTCCCAATGGTCATAATCACGTCTATTACCTCTCATATACAAAAGGGTATTTATAGCGCTCGAACCTCCCATGGTTTTTCCACTGTTGTCAACGTAAATTTTAAGATTTAGACTTGGGTCAAATTGACAGTTATTAATTTTTTATGTAATTGTTAATGTTTTACCGAGTAAAATCACACGTATGTCCTTTCATGGATCTGCAACTCATTTCTTCCGGTTGTGTGCTATAGTTCCAATCTAACGAAGATCCTTTTAATGCTTTGTATAATGATGGTATCATTGTTATATCTGGTTCCTCAGATCCAGCTTCTATCAAGAGTATCTTTCAAAAGGTATTACAAGTACATTTTTTTTAAACTATTCACATTGTAAAAATTTCATAATTATAATGGCGTGTTTTCACACGCTCGTTACTTGAAAACACTAAAACTTGGTTAACACATTTGAATAAAATTTATATTGGATTTACAATTAATAAGCTTTTATAACTGGTAAAACGGAGTATCTCAAAAGTAAATCTCAAGCACGCAAAATACAATTACGTTTATAATCTTTCAATATCCTTTACTATTTAGAGTTATTCACATATATAAATTGTGAAGAACACTGTAGTCACAAAAAAATTAAAAAAGATAAAACATTATCCAAATAGAGTCTATTTCATTCAGTGTTTTTCTAAAATTTAAACTTAAATTAAATTTTTACCCGCCATTGTTCTTCTTCTGATAATCTGTTTGCTAACACACAACCAGCTGATCCAGCCCCAACAATAATGAAATCATATTCATGGCTTTCTTTTGTCTCATCTTTATCTTTTCCGCTACTAAATTTATTTTCCTTATTTTCCTTTGACCGTTCAGTATCCTCATTAACAGTATAATTCACTCCACCGAAAAGACGAACTAGCAGTGCCAGATACATAAACCCGGCTGGAGAACATTGCGTTAAGTTTGATTGCGTTTCTGAGCAAATTTGACTTATGTCCCGTGGTTGCCACATTGTGGACATGTTCGAAGTAATTAGGAAAAAATGTATAATCACTTAATTTATACTATTTCACTATGACAAATTTATAAGAAAATTAAAAGAAGGTGAAACATAAATATGGTAATTACTGTTGTCTTATTAATGTCTGTTAATAAACCTTGAAATAAAATTTGTTATCACTAACCTACTTGCTCTAGTTTGGTATTATATACGTCGTCCTCATCTTACGTATGTTTTTAACTATCTGAACACTATCACTATTCACGTCTTTTCTTTCATAAGATTTACTTGTGTTACGGTAAGTTACTAATATCAAAATATAACTGTTTGTGTTAAAATGTTGTGGGGAACTTGTACTAAAGTACAATTCACGTATTGTTTGCTTTTCGGTCGCAACCTCGTACACCACCTGCATTACGAAACAAATATAAAATAAACAAATTGAACTGTAATTTTTAATGAACGATAATATTATTCTAACTTATATGAATGAATGGTGTGGATTATTTTTAACCTTTAAAGTTAAAATATGATTTACAGTTTATTTTACAACTTTTGTTCAGCCCCTAATTTTTTACTTCAATATTAAATTTTCTTTATGATTTGAAAATATTAAATTAATGTTGTTAAATATTCTAATAAACAGAAGTAATTTATGAGCTGCTGCACAAATATCTTAAGACTACATAAATTTTATCACATAGTATTAGAAAGAGAGTAGTAACTAACTATACAGTCCTATTTCTGAGTTCGATTGTTATTTTTGTCACTGGATTAATATTACGTCAGATTTATGAACCATAAGCCGTATATTATATCAAAGTTAGTTCTTAAACTATATTCACAGGCTATATGTATGGAAAACAATGAATCGTATAAATGAGAAAATGTTGTTCTGAAGAATATAATTTACTATTAATTATTACTTAATAAAAATAAACGAGGATAGAGCTTACATAATAATTTATATTCACATCTAGTAAAGGAAAAGATAATAATTAAAAATTAATAGTAACATTTTCTAGGAAAGTGAACGATGAAGTACCTAATGTAATAATAAAAGATAGTTAATGTTAGTGCTAGTATAATTTACATCGGTAATATTTTAAACAGAAGGGATCATGGATTTAAAAAAGTTATAAAATTGGAAAATGAAAAAATATATAATATTTCTTAATATTTGTATAAAATCTATTAAGAGAACAATATTCAATGTTTACATAAGGTAACCTATATTGAAGAATACATCATTCTATTGAGATAAAAAAGTGTGTGTGTGCTTATTTACACGCGTTAGAAGTTATACTTCTTTGGCGTATAGAAAACAAATCATAACAAATACTAGATCATGTATAGTATAAACATTCAGAATTTAAGGTTAATATAAACAATTTCCAGTAAATAGTTCTTTTTTTATTTATATTAAAAATTTGTTAATATATTCAAATCTATAAATGCACTCAAAACAGTTTTACCACTGATATTACTCATAAATTATTAGGAAATACTATTACCGTCGTATGTGAAATTCATTTAATAAAACACCAAAATAATATTTATTTATAAAAATCAAGAATTTTTCAATATATTAACATTTCTTCCGACTTACAATTCGCTTAGATACCTGAAATGTTGGATTATTTTATCATCAAATAGTTTACAATTATGAAAAACCAAAAGTAAACATATTAAAATTAAACAACGGGCAAATACAAAACATAACATTCAAAAAAAGCAATGTTGAGTTGTGCATTTCAAAAATTAAATAGATTATTTAAACTAAAACAGAAACAGTATAACATTGTAGCGGAAACCTAGAAATTATTGAAAATCAAAATATTTTATTAAAAATTATAAATAAAGTAAGTGTAAGACTACCTTTCATCAAATTAACACTACCTTTGGAAAGGCATTGTTGTCAATATATTTTAAGAAGCTTTAATTTATTTCATACCGTATTGAGGTCTCCTTCACTTTGATTATAGTACAGTTATAAAATAAGTTAAATACCAATTTACACATTAAAATATGTTTATCTCAATAACCTAGAATATTTTTAATTAAAACTGGACCTTCTCAAGAAGGAATTACATTGAAGTTATAACGACATCAATTATTTGTCACAATGGTCGATTTCTGTAATTAAAGTATGTAGATAGTGTAAATATTTTATTTCATACTAGTTTTTGCCCGCGACTTCGTCCGCGTTAGTTTGGTTAAGAGTAATATATGTAGGTATAGCTGACCAGGCGAACTCTATTCCGTCTTAGAGGCCATAAATAATCAGGTTTTTCCTGTTTCAATCAAACAGAATGATTGACATATTAGTTAGTTGTCAAATCTAATGTCAAAAAAACGTTTGTATGGGAAACAGAAAAGGGCTGCTTTTAGGGTTTTCCCGACAATTATTCCAATTTTTCTCACCTTTTAAACCTTCCCTGGACTTCCAGGAGTATTTCAAGACTAAAATTAGCCAAATCGGTTCAACCGTTCTCGAGTTTTAGCGAGACTAAGGAACAGCAATCCATTTTTATATATATAGAAGATATAATTTTAATATATTTTCAGAACAACATTGAATTCTACCTGATCGGTTGGTATTTTCCATAAAAATATTTTTACGGATCTTCGAGAGTTTTGATTATACTCGTATGTACGTATATGTATTGAAATTCAAAATTAATCGAAATATGCTAATAAAATGGTACTGATCATATTAATCTTTTAATGTACTTTAGTAAGCCTCTTTTTTAGCGTAAATAACTCATTGTTTTTTGATATAGACATTGCAGCTATAAAGTCTCAAACTGTAATTATTAAATTAAGTATACATCAAACTTATCATTACAATTAGAAAAAACGATTTCTGCATATTTTTAAGTTATTTCACTTATTTTCACAATGACACCATACCTTAATATTGATTTGGATGTTAAAATATTGCATACACTTTCTTATTTCCTAGTGATATTGCTTCCAATGATTTCAAAGAAAATATATATAGATATACAATACATACATATATGTATGTCATACTGAGATTATACTTTAAACTACTACTACTTCTAAGATGGTTGGAGTCTTACCTGAAAGACAAATTGCAACAAATCGTAGTAAATGGGTTTTTTTCACAAACATTTCTTGTTTATTTGATCGTACTACATGGTTTCCACCACAACCCTTTATATATTCCTTTTCTTCATAAACAACCTCCCAGATTATATTAATCAGTGTGAGTGTTTGTTTTTTTGTCGGTTATTTAAAACTGTATAAACTAAAAGAAAAGGTAGTGACTCAACAGTGCGTCAACGTGGCTCAAATGTTGTATAAATATGGTGCGATAATAATAAAATCGTACTAAATATCGATAAATGTCGGCATATAAATTTAAATTTATAAGTATTTTAATTGTTATTGTCTTATTTTAATGTCCTTGGATTACATAACTTTGTTTTGATTATCTACTGTATTTTTCTCAGCTGTTTACAAGCACTTTTTATTCATTTATATTAATATGGGTGTATTGTTAAGTTGCTGCTTATTTTATTATTTAATGTAAAATCTATGTAATTGCCTGTAGTGGTCTATCACACTGAATGACAGCTTGTCTCCGATATTATTATTTTATATTTGTGTATGCCAATGGCTCTTCTAAGATAAACAAATAAATATCACCAATAAATTTGAGATCATAAGTATAAAATTATAATACAGTAATACCCCGCTATACGCGAGGGATACGTTCCGAAGAAAATCGCGTTAACTGAAATTCGCGTATATCGAGGGTTATGATTAAACACAGTCAAAATTTAATAAACAAATATAAAAATCATTTTAATACACCACTTTAATTCTAAGAACACTATACAATACATAGGTACTCCTATTTTTTACGAAAAAATACATGTATTGTCTTTTGGGTAGCGTTTTGTTTACGTTCTTGTAAAATACGTTCATAACACCAAACACTGTTTTTAATCGTTTGACACACGTTCAAGACACGGTCATCATTATTGTCTATACTCTGCAATGTCCCAACCTGAATAAATTTTTGAATATCGCGTTATAGTGAAACCGCGCACAACGGGGTCGCGTTAACCGGGGTATTACTGTAAGTAAGTACATATGTAAAAGTACATATAAAAGGTTTTGCTTCGAAATATTTAAGAAACTTGATGGAATGGAACTATCGCCTTCTTTCATTAATAGTGATATGTTCTTTTTATTTAGACCATGTTAAAATATAATTTTTAAATATTTTTTTTTCTATAAAAGAGTATAATATCGCAAATACATATTTTAATAAATAAATAACGCTCGTAAACGTTCTAAGGTCATCGCTAAAAGTAATATTTTACATAGTATTTACCTGAAATCAGCAGTATTGTTTGTTTAAAAAGAGAAGTTCCTATTAGTTTGAATACACGGACATTCTCATCAATTATATTCCGTAAGTATTTGCGATTTTTTTCACCATTAAGAGGGAAAACTGATAAAAATGCCTTTCAAATATCATAATATAAATAAGAATTTAACTAATAAATCTAGTAACCAAATGTACATGTAATTTCAAATTTATTTCAATCATACAATTTTTAAGCATACAATTTATTCAAGTGTGAATTACTTCGTTGCCTTTCTTGAATAAACGTACTTTATTCAAGAAAGGCAATGAAGTAATTCACACATAATAAACTTTATATATGTCTGTATATAAAATAGTTGAACTAAACCGTTTTAAACCAGATTTTTTGGTATATGTAGATACAAGTTTCAGAGCAAATCTCAACTGCATTTAAATTGAAAGACATTGTTGATATCTATAATTAGAACCGCGTGAAATATGTATATTCAACCTATTATAATGATGATAAAGTGGTTATAAACCTTTCCCCTTGTAGAAAAGGCGTTAGAAGATTTTTTATAAATATGAGATTGTTTTCTACCGCTCAATAATTCAAAGAAAAAAATCTTATCCTCCATATTATACCATGTAGCATGCGTTTAATCATAGTGAAACAAGTCATTTCATTCCGATAAACAAAATTAAAAAGAAAGCAAATGTTTCATTTTGATATTTTTTTATTAAAATTAAAAATACTAAATATATAATTACAAAAATAATTTATTCACAATGACAAACGAATATAGTAGTATTTATTTAAAAGTATTTCGATTATGAGAAACGGAAATTTGGTTCCCAAGAACTGTTAGGTATATGAGGAGAGAATGATTTAGAAGCACCAGCACCAAAGTCTAATGATGTTGTAGGATTTTGATAGAGATTCAGTTTTCCCATCGCATTAACATCAATACGCTGAAGGAAGGGAGTGTGAGCCACGTCTAAACTGGCGCCTACCTTCTTACTGTGAATAAAATACAGAACATGAATAAAGATCACGATCAAAGTTTTAATTTTTAAGAAATATACCATGTAGGGGAGAGTTGGTTATATCGTACTAGCATTTAAATCGTACCACTTCTAAATTTCCCATTTAATGAATATTTTTTTCTACACTGACAACAACAAATCGTGGCCCTGTACCATCCCTCTTCACCCACTAGTTTAAATCGACGTGAGTTAACAACTGTGCACGTAATAAAAGAAAAACATTTTTTGTAGGAATTAATATAAATATTGTCGTACATTCGTAAGGAGATAACTCGTAATCAAGGTAAGTTATAGTTATTCAGTTTTTTTTTATTATTCCACAATTGTATACTAGATTATTGGGGGTTTTTGTTGCGTGTCTAAGTTTTGAGTTTATGCCGGATATTTGCTTATGTTTTAGAAATGCCTTAGTTGGTTTAATCGTACCACTTGCAGTTGGTTAAATTGTACTGGTACGATTTACCCGACTACCAACCGCAAGTACCTATAGTAAGTACTACCTAAGGCCAAAAACAAAAGTTATAAGAGGAAACGATCTCATTCCATCACCAGTAGCGATGATTCAGGAGAGACACTTGTTGTAGAACTAGATGATGATGATGACAGCGATGATTATCTTGAAAATATATGTCGAAAGTGCAATTGTTCTTACTACGATAAGAAGGGTCCAAAAGTTCAATGCGTTCGCTGTAAACGGTGGCTACATGAGACATGTACTTCGAATCCAGACATTTGTCATTATTTTTTCCATTAAGAAATATGCACAATAATTATATTACAAATAACATTCTTGTTAACTATTACTTTATTATTATAGTTTACTGTTTTTTTTTTGTCTCATTTTTATTAGTTATGTTGATTGATCTCATTATCAGAGTATAATCATGTTATTTTACTGAGAAAGCTTATACCTAGTTCCTTTATATAACCTAAGAGTTAAAAATTAAGTTTCTATTACCTAAAAGATATTAATAATGTTGTTTTATTATTTACCTAACAGTTAAAAATAAATAATTTGATTGAGAAATTTAATGTCTTTCATTCAGTGGTACGACTTAAACACCCATGGTACGATTTAAAGACTTAGTGGTACGATTAAAACGACTAGTCGGCTAAATCGTACCGATGGCAAGCCTCTATAAAAAAGCATTTTTAACAATGTTAGAATAATCGCAAGGATCTGTTCTCTTTTTCTTAGGAAACTAAAATATGAAACTTTATTTTACATATGTATTAATTATTATAAGACGTGTTATAGTCAAAATATTTGAGTTAAAGTGAAAAGTGGTACGATATATCCGACTCTCCCCTATATCATCCATAAGATAATGAAAAATGTATTACAAGAAATAATTTTGCTCTACATTACAAAGAAAATATGTCAGTGCTTACTTGAACATATAATCAACCCCTCCTCCAACAGTATTAAAATTAGGGACTTCGGGAAATTTCGGGATGTTTCGAGAAACAAATGCGTTATCGTTCAAATTATGCTTCTCCGTATTCATCAAATTTAAATTTCCCGCTAATGTCTGCTGTTTGCCAAAGTCTGGAATACGTGATTCTGACACGCTAAGAGAATGACCTTTTCTGAAATCGAAAAAAATTACTTATTTCTCTTATAATTCTTTGATGTAAATGATAATAAAATACGTAACATTAACTTACATGTTATCCAAAGCCAACCTATAACTTTGTCCGTTCGGAGACGTACTTCCAAACGCACTTAAGACATTTTTATCATTATGAGCTAATGGGATCTTAGTACTTAAACCGACTCTACCTTTATTATCAGCGGTCATTGTACCTTGAGCTCTTTTAACTCTCGTTCTGTCCGTAACGGGCACCACATGATTCATAACTTCATCTTCTGTTAGTAAAATATATCGACAGGTTACACCAGCTAGCAGTACTGCCAGAAATACTATTTTGGACAACATTATGAGTGTTGTTTCTAACAGCGATTTCTTAGTTATTGATAAATCTTCTTAATTTAATCGTTTATATACTTAAACAGATCTAGAAAGAAAATCCAGTTTTACTATTGTTTATAACTGAACGTGCATATTATATAATATGTCTCATAGACAATTTTAGTGACTTCCCGTAAGTTATTGTTTCATAATAATTATTAATTTATTTATTATTATAGTTTATCAACTTTGGGATTAAAATTACCGATATAAATGTTGTATACGTAGGAGTATTTTCAGATATATAATAGTTTTTAAAACTCCAAAAAGAATTTGTTAATTTGCTTAATAAAACACTTTGGGTTGCATTAAATTCAAATTAAATATTCAAAAATAATTTATATGTTGAATTAAAAAAAAAAACTTCCGAAACAGTACCATATTTTTACTATTACTGCTTGTTGCTATGAGATATCTATGCACACAACATGTGATGCTAGTAATATGTAATGACTGCTATCAACACTTTATAATGTGAAAGGTCACGAGGGAATTCTTCAGAACCTGAACTAAATTGTACCAAACGATAACATTTGAATAATACACAGCAATCAGAAGCCATTTATTTCCTAAAGTAATTTTAAAACTTAAAATTTGTAAATAACAAAAGTCTTTAAACATATGTTGCTTTAACGCACTTGTACAAAATATTTTAACTTGTAATGCTTTGTTATAAGTTGAAAAATTATGAAATTTTAAAAAGCAACGTTATCAAAAGAGTTTAAACTCGGTAAGTTATGAATATAGAAATATATCAATTACAAGTTGTGAAAATTATTATCACTTTAATATACCAAAAAAGAAAATCAGCTCGTCTACTTGCATTTCCCTTAATAATATAATTAAATTATTTTTCTTTGTATGGTGATTGTAATTTCTTACGTTTAAGTTACCATTTAATATACATTTTCATGATATATGTATTGCATTAAGGGAATATAATATAGATAGGAAACATTTTCTTTTTTTCGTTTTTTTTTAACACATACATATAGAATATATTTTACCCATTATTTATTACTTAAGCTTTTGCATCCCCATATAATAAATTTCAGATTTATACGAACTTAGACGTTTTTAGGATAAAATAATGAACAAAAAACTGCCAATCTCTTAAAGCTTGCTCAAATGTTTGCTCAGGCCTCAGGGGCTTCGCTGAAGGCATGTTGTTTGAACTCTTTGCTAAATAAGTTTACCAAATTATTTTAATGTAAAACGGGATTTTTTATTATTTATATATAATAATTTAAGAAGTAGAGTATTATAAAACATAATTATAACAAAACAATTCTAAATTAAAATTAAACCGATATTTTCTCTTCTTAGTAACCAATTCAACTTACGAATTACATTTTAAACTGACTAAGTACGTAAAAATGTAAAACTAAAGAGAAAAGATCCAAGCAAGTATGACGAAATATCAATCATCAATTATCGTCAACCATTGCTTTGATATTACTCTCACCGCTGACTATTACCTACAACTGTTTCTATCAAGGTACATAGTCATGAATGTGAAAAATAATCAATATAATTAATTGATATATATTTAGATTGATAAACTCAGTATAAGGTTTTAGAGGTGCGTCAAATTATTGGTAAAATAATAGGTAATAGGTTTTGTGTTTGGAGAAATAGTAGAAAAGTTTTAACGTTGTGCATATAAAGTAAGATGAAGCACAATTATTTATTTCAAAACTACAAAATAAACGATTCTTCTGTCACAATCGATTCACGGGTCCATACAAAATAAACGATTTCTTTATATTTTTTAAAACCTTTGCTCAGTTTATCTTCTATAGAAGTAATGTTATTACATTTTAATTTTTATTAGTTTAATACTTCATGGTCAACATGCGTCCAGTACAATGAAGTTAATGATGTTATTAAATTCTAAACAATGGTTTAGAAAAATAACTAACATTGTAATTTACATTTTCTATTTTAAGATCTATTAAACATATACACTTATATTGCAAATAATTGAGATAGTGAATAAGAATGTTTTAAAGACTACCAAATTCAACAGCTTCTGTAACAAATACCAAAATAGTAATCAGTTCAATTTACTAAACATTAATTCAAACCAAAATGTAGAACCTTGAAACTATCATTCTGTAAGAATTTTAATTATTTTATGATTCCTATACCGACATTTTGATTACCTATGGTCATGTGAGCCTATTGACATTACAAGTTAATAAGTTTAATATAGTTTAGAGCTATTTAAACTATATTAAACTTAATAACTAACTTTAATACATAGAATTACATGAGAATTAAAAACAATTGCTAAAAAAGCCTTCGAGCATTTTCACTCGTTTAGTTCGTATTTTTTTTGGAATCAATTTGTCTATTTAAGTTCAATTGGAAGCGTATTAAATGGATAGACAGATAGAGTGTTATTGGTAAAATTGGTAATTAAATGTAGACAGGTGATTATTCTGGTAAAATAAAGAACTTATATTGATAATTATTATACCTAATGAATATTTTTATACAAAATGATAAATTGTACATATATATCTTTGTATTATATATCTTTGTATGATATTTTTGCTTATTAAGGAGTTTTTTACACAAATATTGAGAAAGAATTATTTTTTTAAATAATAACAAAATTGACAGTCCCGGTTGTTTATACCAAAACCTGAATGTTTAAGAAAAAGAATATACTTAATTATAAAAGCAGTTCAATTTATGATAAAAAGCATTCTGAATTCTGTTTAACATGATAGTAATAATAGTGACATGATATAATAGTAACAAAAGTAAGATAAATTATTGCTGTAATTTAATTCTCTTAGTAACTGCTCTAATTCGACCTCAAGTTTTGTAAACAAGAAGTTAGACGAAGTAACTATTTCTTAGCTAAAGTCAAACCCATTCCTGTCTCAGTAACCGCTGTCTGAATAACATTAACTTAAATAACATAAATAAACTACTCTAGTGCGCATACTTAAAAATAATGAAGAAACAATCCAGTTGTTTACATTTAAACTTAATTATATGAGTCTATAAGAAACTTATTCTAAATAAATTTTTTAAAGAAACATTGATATGTAACAATATTCAATCGTTATACATTTTATTGAAATCAGAACTTTCCCTTCTATATTAAACTATTAGAGCAGTCATGGATTAAGAGGCAAAAGTTTTAATTTTAAGTAGTTTAGGTCTGAGAAACAACTTTGTACAAACGACCAGACACATTATCAAGAGCGTTCAACTCGAGAAAATCGCTTCTAGTGTCTTCAATTTAAACAATAGACTTGTGGCGATTGAAATTTAAAGAAAAATACAACTCCGACTCTCTTTGTTCCGTTTAGTTTACAATCTGGATAAGAGGTAAGTAATGGTTTATATCGTGAGCTGATATTTTAAAATGTTCAGAAATAATTTAGTTTTATGTTTAGGTTGTTTACCATTGAAACTTACATTAAATTTCATTTGTATGTAACCATTTTATTTTTAAATGTCACTATACATATACATATATTGGAATATTTTGTTAGTTGATTAATTGTTACAGTCTTTTCTTATATGCTCTTTTAGATATAATCTTACAGAAGATAAATTAATTTTAAATTGATTGTTTTGTTTTGATTTTCTTTATATGATTATAAATTCAATTCCTAAACCAATTTCATGATAATCCCCTTCTCTATTCTGATAACCGCTCATACATCCACCCTGAGAGAATCACATTTATATAATACTTTTCGTACATACAAAATTTTTCGGCAAAGAATCTGCAATACTTCATATTATGTTGTAGATAGCCATGAGTAACGGTGACTACTTCCCCTCAGGTAGGCTCCTGCTTGTATGCACCTTTGGATTATAAAAAAAATCCTTTCGTCTTTATGATTTCCGAAATATCATTTAATTTGATACATATATGTACATATGTATGTTTGTGCAAATTAAAAAGGTCGGTGATTTAAAACTTATAATTTCAATTTATAAGTTCAGGTTTCCTCACGATGTTTTCCTTAGCCGTCTGTCAGTGATGTCTACATACTATAAATATAATTAACTTTACATGCTATCAATTATAATATAAATTTAGCTAATATTATGCTACTTCTTCTATATAAAAAAGGAGTGTTCCAGAGTTTATCTTTCAACAATTCAATGTGCTCAAAATATTTCTCACAATATCATCTTACTAACTTGTTTCCGAATATTTTTTTTTTATTGTGATTAAACAAACCTGCCACTAAGAAGAGTTTGTTGATAATATTCAAGTAATAGCTGATGTATAACTGGAAAAATTAAATTCCTAAAATTGCTTTACTTTTACAACTTTTGTAATAACCAGTTGAGTTTCGTAAACGAGAAATTGTTCCAACAACAATAGCTTTGCTAAGGTAAAGAGCTATATTTTAAGGCAGGTTAAATTCATATACATGGTGACTGATGAATTACTATCAATATTTAAGGAGAATACTCGGTACATGATTCTCATTCGAATTATGTAAAAAAAATAGGTACTTAATTTTTGACAAAATTTCCGTATAAATAAATAAAGCGTTGACACGTTCCAAGTGTTCCAAGTGTGGACGCGTGCGGCGGCGTGCTGATACAACACCACGCCGCCGCACGCGTATGTGTGTGTGTGTATACCTAATCTGTAAGGTGTTCACACGATGCGTAATTAATTACATAACTTTTGGTTAACTTTACTTAGAAGTTTATTAATATTTATG